CTTGTTCATTTTTTCTATCGTTTCGTGCTGGTCGCGGAGTTTTTACCTTGTTTGGGCTCAGAGCCATTCACCGTTCGCACCTTGCGAACATTCTCTTTCTTCCCAGGGCTTTACCGTTGAAAAAAGGGAGGAAAATTTTCTATCTGGTGACGAAGTGGGCACTTTGCGCTCGATTGTAGTGACCTTACTAGACTACGACGCCAGCGGCACAGAACAGCTATTCTGCACGTGCATCACGATTTTTTGTAAATTTCTTTGTCGTACCTGACCAACTACGACGTGAAATGACCAATTTTGAGTTTACTTAAGGAACGGGAATTCGAACGGCACTAGGGTCACTAGTACGGCACTCTCTTCAGCTTCACCCTAATTTCCCTTGTATTAAACTAGAAATACGTTATCACAAAAATGTCGCGAAGCTGTAAAATGTCAGACTAATGTCAGCAGTGAGAATAAAAAGAAACAAGTCAAAGGGAAAAAATATGATAAAAAAAGAACATAACATCATAACCATCTTGGTTCATATGTACCGAGTTTCGTCCTGGGACAGGAGCCCATGGCTCCTGCCTGGAGATGAGTATGAAATCTACTTTGAGGCCGGGTGACGGTTAGGGAGGAGCTCGAGGAGAGAAAAATTGAGCCCGGGGCCCACGCCCTCCAACATTTGAAACCAAAATGGCCGGTTAGTAACGCAAAACTCTCAGTCTCGATTATCTTACGGAAAGGTAGGCGAACCTGAACAGTCTATCCCCAGTGTTGCGTGACGACACGAAGAATGGCTGCAAAGGAGGGTACTGTTACCCAAGCGATCTGATAAATTGCAAAATTCAGAATAGGGTCTGGAAAGGGGTCTGCGTTCCTGCTCCTTTTTCACGACAATTCCGCAACCCGAACTTCTGTCATCTCTACCTCGAATGCCGTTTTCTTTCTCAATACACATCCTGTGCCAAGATTTTGGCGAAACACGCTTCCCCAGTAACGGTTGAATCCCTTATCCCGTCAAATCCCGCAAACCCGAACGTCTGTCATCCCCACCCCGAATACCCTTTTCTTTCCCAATACTGCGTCCCGTGCCAAGATTTTGGCTAATCCGGCTTCCCGAAAAGTGGTCAAATGCCGTATCCCGTCAAGAATTGTCTCGTTTTCTTCCGAATCCCGCACTGTATTTCGGCCAAATCCCAGATCCCGAAGATACCTTTCAAGGCACTGTCAGCGACTCGCACTTAGCAAGTATTAGTAGTGGCGGGTTGTCAAAATACAATACAATTATTAGTGATCAATCAACGTTTCTTATCTTTCTCTCACTTTACACATGAGCCACTTTAAACTTTACATTTCCCGAAGAAGAACAAATACCAACGTAATCTGACCATTTCTTTGATAGCATGCTAAATGGCTTTGACTGTGGACCAAGTGTTGGATCGGATTGGGAGTCTGGGACTCTACCAGATTCGCCTCATTTTTATTCTGAGCTACATTGAGTGGGTGAACATCACCTGGCAGATACTGGTACCGACCTTTATCGCTGCTGAACCTAATTGGCTGTGTGAGACCAATCACAGCGCGTGTAATCTGACGGGGGAATTTAAACCCGGGGATAAACTGTACGATGAACGGTGTAAGATGCCGAGAGAAGCCTGGAAATTTGCCGAGGGTTACACTTCAGTGGTCACTCAGGTAAGGAATAATTAACAATTATTGGACGAGGTTGAGCAAGATATCGTGATTTGTCTGTGGCGAGCAGATCAATTATTCGGCTGAGGTAAATAATTGATCTGCGAGACACTGATAAATCACGATATTTTGCGATAACCGAGTCCAATAATTGTTTTATCATTGGATCACCGAGTTTGTTTTTTTAATGAATATCCTCGGGAAGCGAAGCGATCTACTATTTTTACGCAAGAGCGATCGCAAGAGGGAGAAAAGCACGGTGTCCTTTACGCATGTGAAGAATATTATTTGCAGCCAAACACAGTTGGACGGCATTGCGCATGAGCAGACCATTATTTGTAGGCAGTTATTTGCAGGTCACATGGTGGGCTCTCGGCCAATGAAAGGAAAGAAAAATTTGGTTCGAATGATAATTTAACTTATTGATCATAATTATAATTGTAAGGTTTTAAGCCAGAATCCCAACCTGAGAAAACAGCCGACATTTTGAGACGCCACCACTGGTTTCCCCACGAAATGACGTCTGAGAAACGAGCGCAGAAATTCCATACTGATGGCCGCCATCGCTAATTAGCACTGGGTAGTGATTTTCATTGGTTGAAGCAAATTTCCCCCGTGGCACGACCAATCAGAAGCACTACCCAGATCTGAGCAGTGACACTTTATCTGTATAGAATTTCGAGGTCGTTTTTGATGAGAAGCTCATGTAGACTGAGTGAACAATTGATTGAGATCCGGTAGAATCAGCGTTACTGTGACTGTTTTAAATATAAGAGCGCAAGACCGTGACCCCGCCTCTAGGAAAAAAAAACGAAGGAGTAACAAAGGACTATCCTCGAAATCTCCAATTTTTCTGGCTCTAACACACAGGAATCCCAACAGATGTCGCCAGGTTAACGATCAGACATCGCGGAAAATATTTACGTAAAAAACAAGTATAGTAACACTATTCTGAAGATGTACGACATTTTTACTTTTCAGTTTGATTTAGTATGTGACAAGTCCTTGCTTGGAACAATTTCTACATCTGTGATTTTTGCTGGATGGCTAGTGGGCGCTTTAGCGGGCGGTGTGTTGGCAGACAAGATTGGAAGGAAACCTGTCATGTTTGTGTTTGCATTCATGTGCAGTTTCTTTGCACTTCTCGCGGCCTTTCCCAATGTCTTTTGGCTCTTCATTGTATTCCGTCTTCTTGTCGGGATTAGTATCGGTAAGCATAATACAACAAAAACTGTTTAAAAATGCAGTGAGCCACTTTAACCAATTCTTGTTGCTATGTGTTCACCGGCCTCTTTCCCAGGGCTTTATTTTTAGAAAAAGGGAGGAGCTGGGAAAGAAATTGCCGTCCGCTACAAGCAAGTCAGAAGGAAAAAAAAATTGTCACGGCGTGTCTGTTACCAAGGGAAAGTTCTTTCAAACTACTTGTTACTCGTCAAGAGATGTAAAAGCTTTTAAGCATTAACATCTCTTAAAAAGACCGTCTGACATCGCGCGCTGTGAGGTTATGCATAATTTGAGCTTTTTATCGCATTTTACACAGCGCCAATTTATTGCACTAATGATTTTAAGGTGTGTGAGGGGACATGTGACCAGCCGATGAGGCCTTCCTCCCCCCCCCGCCCCCGCTATTTTCTAAGGGAAAAGCCCTGGGGAAGAGCTGCTGTCTTCGCCACTGCTTCACTTTGTTTTTCCCTCACAAATCCCAACAGGGGGTGGGGCAATGGGAATCTACGTGTTGGCAACTGAGTTCGTGGGGGTGAGGCACCGTCATGTGGCTGGTACATCACTATGGTACTCCTGGGCTCTGTCACTAGTCATGTTAGCTGGTATGGCATATGGATTGCGTGACTGGAGGCACCTGTCCATTACCTGTGCGGCACCTGGGCTTATTGTCCTTATAGGCTGGTGGTAAGTCACGCATTCTTCACGTACAGTAGTGACGACTTTCTGGCTCGAGCCAAGGTCGAGTAACTATAGAGCCTCTTCACTCGCTTGGCCTGTAGCAATGCAAATGTTTTGGGGAAAAAGAAAGTTTTTACATAAAAAAAAGGTTCACCTCCCACGGGATTGGTTTGGGATACCAACATGGTCGCCGTTTCAATGTTTCGGGACACCAAAATGGTGGACAGAAAGTTATGTCTGGTGAAAACGCTCTATATTGGATGACCAGATCGCTCTCCAGTTTATTATAACGGCCATCTCTTACTGATAAATATTTTTTTGGAAGGAAACCGAATGAATTTCAGCCTAGATACTATTGAGAGGACAGAAAGAACAAACTGAACTCTTTCACATCACGATATCTTGTCATACGAACTCTTAAAAGTCGAAAAATCATCAAACCTTGAAACTTCTTTGTTTTCCTTTTGAAATACAGTCTTTCAGATCTCTTAGTAGAAAAAAATTATAACTGAAAATACTTTGTTAATTTCAGCTCAGTTTTGGTCTAAAAATACAGTAGTCACAGTAACAAAGCTCCTTAAAAATTTTCAGTTTCATTTTAAACTTTTTCTGTTAAGTCTATTTCTCAGCGGTTTTTAAGATGTTAAACTAGGGCGTTTCTGAGCATTAAAGTAATATTTCAGATCTTAGTTTCTGCAATTTTCTTTGTTGAGACCCGGCTATTTCCCAGTCTGGCGAATACCAAATTTGTATTTCGAAACAATCCTTCTCCCTCTTTCATTACTCCATTCTACGTTTTTTTTCCCGGACGGGGGATACTCCTTATAACTGTCTATACCGGGAGGCTGCATCCGAAAAGGGCACCTTTTTCAGGCCTCAGGGGGAAATCCTTCATTTTGGTCTGTAATATAACCTGAAAGGGCAACAGAAGGTTTTTTGGCTGTGGAAAGTCGAGAAAATTTTCTAGTTTTGTGATTTATTCATATTTAAAAGAAAGTGCATTTACAGCAGTTAAAAGGGATAAAGTAGTTCTAAACTAGTTATTTGAAAGGGGTACCATCTGTCAATGAAAGGTATCCGAAAGGGATACCTTTTCCGTGTCAAAAATGGTATGTAAAAGGGTAAAGTGTTGGACCTCTGGGCAGAGCCAACCCGCCTAAAACTTTGTTAAATTCCCCCCGGGCATTTTTTTTATGCAGGTTTACTCCTGAATCATGTTCTATAAACAACGACTTTCCTTTTGAGTTTCTTTGGCTCCTTTAGGACGCTTTGTAGCGGTGCTGATTGTTCTTTTTCATAGGTCTTCTCGGAGAAATATTGGGCTCACGACTGCCCTTCCAAGTCGAATTGGGCGACGTAAGAGATTTGTTTGCAAGTAAAAAAATGTGCCACAGGACACTTGTATCCTGGTATGCCTGGTAAGTGGATCATAAATGAAACTTTATTGAACCAACACTGGATGTTTTTTCGGGGTGTGCTTGTAATTTATCTTGTCCAAGAGCCTAGTTACCCTCGTCCAGTGGAATGGGTAAAGAACTCTGATATAGAAAGTTCGGAGTCCCTGGAGACTAGCCTGCGTCGCAACCTGATTTGCAAATCGACAATGGCTTGTTAACAGACCAATCATGACGAGTACTTAAATCGTGGTACGTAGGTGGGGTCCCAGAACAAGGACTTCGGTGCTGTTTCGAGAAGGTCTCAGTCACCAGAGTTTACAGTTGAACCCCTCAACAACGGTCACCTTGGGGACAGAGGAAAGTGGCCGTTGTAGAGAGGTTGAAACAAGAGTCAATGTATGGACTGTCCGCCAAAAAAGGTGGCTGTTGTCGAGAGGTGTCAAGAGGCGGTAGTTTCATCTGTAATCTAGGCTGATGGATACGAACTGACCTGAAAGCGTATTTGAACGACGCAGCTTCCCTTTGAGTACAACGATGCTCCGTTGTGAAAACCTCGTCAGAGCTCTTTCCTTAATACCAAGATGTTATTACCATAGAAGAAGTATAAGTTTAAAAGCGAACGAAACTTTGGTTTTATGACCTTGTTTAGCAAAAGATTGGATAAAAGGTATAAAAATTTTCTGCGCAGACCACAAAACGTTTGAAAAGATCCGTTCGCCTGAGCGCCCAACACGATGAAGAATTTAAGGGAAACCTCCACCCTTATCTAAGAGTTCCACCAAAACTCTTTCAATACTTTTCTTGGTGTTCTTTTTAGGTTTGTAAACGCAATGGTCTACTATGGGGTATCCTTCAGTACTCCAACACTTGGCGGTAACATGTATTTGAACTTCTTCCTGGCCTCAATCATTGAAATTCCAGCCAATTATGTCAGCATCTGGGCCATGGGAAAGTAAGTCGACAGCGCCCTTCTCAATCTTGAAAAAGATTACCTCTTTCAGTTTGTAATTGTAAGAGCAGCATTGAGAACAGTGTCTGGAAAGGGTGGTCGTGATCCCGCATTCCCGTCCTTTTTCACGATAATCTCAAATCCCGAACTTCTTTCATCGCTATCCCGAATATCATTTCTTTCCCAATCCGCTTTTGAGCGCAAATTTTGGCGAATCCCGCTTCTCGGGTAGCAGTATCCCGTTAACGTTTACCGAATCCCGCACTCTATTTGGTCAAATCCTGGATCCCGAGAATACCTTTCTAGACCCTGTGAGAACGCTGAGACATATGTGTTTAATCAAATCTATAGCGCAAGAACGAATGATTAACAATTCCTTGACGTAAATATTTGTTGCGTTTCATCGCAGGATTGGTCGCAAAAAGTCACTTGTGTATTTCATGATCTTAGCCTCCATAGCCTCGGTTGGTGCTGTGTTATTTACGATGTATGATCCTGGCAACGACAAATGTAAGTGACTGTTTCCAAAGCTGCCTTGCTATCTTCCCATATTAGGAATTAAGCTGTGGATTTCGGATTCCTTGAGCTGAATTCCGGATTTCGCAAGCAAAAGTTTCCCGGATTCAGGAATCCGATTGACATACATAGGGTGATCGCTACCCCAGGGAGGAGGGGGGGGGGGAGGTTACTTGGATTAATTTTAGCTGGGTATGTGCCACTGGGCTCTCAGAACCCCTATCCGATTATAGTCTACTCTGTGGCCAAATATAGACTCCATCTTAGTCACTTTTGGGAAAATGTAATTTTCACGATGCCAACTTGGTAACTTTCTGCTTATGCATCCTACTTATAAAGCCTTTTAACTAGATCATCTTGAAATGAATTGACACATTGGTTAAACTTAATGAAGTAAAAATCTTCCCATTTTAAATCCCTACCTACCTGAATTTTCTGATCCCCCAAATCCCATGTGCGATTCCATCCTAGTAGCTCTAAACAAAATGCCATCCCATTATAGTCAATCCAGCGGTGAAAATGCGACCCCATCAAGCGGCACATCCCCATTAGCCTATCACTAGGAAGTACCCCCCCCCCCCGGGGATCGTAGCAATAATCGATAATCTTTGAGGAGTCACTAGATACCAGTTATCTGAAAAAATTTCATTGACTCTTTTTTTATTTCAGGTTTTGCCGCAGGTCGTATTATCATGGCGCTGGCAGCTAAGTTTTTCGTGTTCATTTCCTTCGCTGCGGTTTATGTGTTCTCGACGGAGCTGTTCCCTACGGTTATTAGGTGAGACGGTGGACAGACTCGAAAATTATACGCGTTTTTCTCTAGCTGAGTATGGATGGTCAAAACCATGCGAAATCGCTACTATGGACGAAGAGCTTTCGATTCGTTTTTGTTATCATGAAAACAAAGGTTTTCGAAAACGCATTTGTCGTGGACAGTGACTTGTCTGATGATCCTCTACTGATCTTCAATATATTCTTTGCAACCTGACCAACCTTTCATGTTTTGTTCTCTTTTCAGAAACGTAGGAATGGGTACCTCTACTTCGGTAGCCAGATTGGGTTCTTTTGCTTCTCCATATGTCGTTCATCTGGTTCGTGAAATTAGTGATAAACTTTTTATTTATATTTTTCCCTAAACTTTGTTTAATTACTACAGTGCACAATTCGCCACTATAGAAACGAGAAAGGAAATGGAGCCGAAATGAGTCCCGCAATAGGCGCGCGCCGCTCAGCTATTGGCCAATTTTTTTCCTGTCCTTAGTCACAGTCCCAGAAGTCTTTGCGAAAGTTAACTCGGCTCAGTTCCCTTCTCGTTTCTAAAGTGGCGAATAACTGAATACCCTGGGTACCAGAGGTTTTTCTCGCGTGCGGCGGGAATTTTCGGTGCTGGCCGAAGGTCGACACATCTTCGGTCGAAAGCCGAAGCCGCGAGAAAAAGCGTTTCGCGCGGGTCACTATTAAGACTTGACAGAAACTGGAAACCGCGCTAGAAAAGTCTCTGGCACCCAGGATAATAACTGAATGACACAGCAGAAATTCAGTATTATAGTTCTCAATGAATTTTTTTTCTTATGTTCCTTGTTGAAAATTATCGATTTATGTTAAACTGGTCAACGTTAAAGGCAATCCACGGATAACTGGCGAGCCTTCAAAGAAAATGAATGAACCTGTAGCAGTCAACTAATTATGAAAAAAAAAAGCAAAAATATGTAAACAACTCTTCGGCGAACATAGCGATAGTAGTGACGATACGATTATCTTTGTAGATGGACTTCAGTTTTATCTTTAGAAGTGTAGTGTCCATAAGATCACTGGACTCACTTTGGAATTTTTATTTCATTTTAAGTTACCTTAAGAATTAATTGACGAATCAATAATCAGTTATGAAAGGCTTTTGGAATACTGTATTTGTTGTAGTCTTGCCAATAAAGCTTGTTATTGTTGTTGTCTACGGGGATCGTAGCGATAAAATAGGCATTTCCGGGTTTTAAAACGAGGCTAAGTGCAAAGCCTTTCTTGCGAAAAAGATTTTTATAAACATGAGAATGGAAAATCATTTTCATGGAATTGAAATGGCCTTTTGACTACCATGCTTTACTCCGTGTTTGTAAGAGTGTTTATTTCTCCCATATAGAGCCGAGTGCATCCGCTCCTCCCCTACGGAATCATGGGAGCCAAGGCGTTGCTTGCGAGTATACTCTGCATGACATTACCAGAGACAAAGGGACTGCCAACCGCTGAAACAATGGACTCTGAACAAGGTATAGAGCTGGGGATACAGAATGTCGCCATGGAGGATACCGTGTTAAACGACGAAAAAGAAAAGGTACAGGAAAAGGAGAAACAATTGGAAGAGGAGAAAATGAGTGAGAAAATGCAGGAAGTAAAGGAAGAAGTGAAAGACAAGAATAAAGATAATAACAATGTTGGACAAGACCCAGATGAAGGAGGGAATACGCACGAAGATACGAATACAGCAAATGGTGAAGTAGCGGGAAACCACGCGAATCTTGGTTATAACACTGCTTTTTAACAGCCACGAAAATCACTTATGTTTATTCGTCTAGGATCGTTCATTAATGAGGCAGCAACAAAAAAAACAAATTCCACTTAGTAGTGTAAATGGGTCGGTTGAGGTGCTAATGAATTCAGGGTTTTCTGTATTTTTGACAGCCTGAGAAAACAACCCCACACTGGTTTCCTCTCGTAATGACATTGAGGAGCGAGCGCGTAAATTCCATACTGATGACGTGTCACTATCGAGAACTGGGTGGTGCTTCTGATTGGTTGAAGCAAATTTCCCTCGCAGCACGACCAATCAGAAGCACTACCAAGATCTGGGTAGTGACACGTTATCAGTACATGGAATTTACGCGTTCGCTCCTCGACGTCATTACGAGGGGAAACCAGTGGTGGCGTGGCGGGAAATGTCGACTGTTTTCTCAGGTTAAATTTTCTATAAAGTGTGGGATAGTAATTGGACGGGACTGCACTGACCTCCGTATGCTGTCGACGATAGCTTGACTCACTGCTTCTGCTATGTTGTCCTTGGCCCTCTGGGACATTTAAGTTGCCTCGAACCGAACGACTTTTCTCTTCTTTCGACAAAAAAAGAACCCGGTGAAGATCCGATTCAGGAAAACTTACATAGCCAGCAAGTCTGTTACTTTTGCATCTTTATGCTGAATAAATAAAAAAGCTTTTACATAGCCTTGGTGCAAAATGCTGTCTGCAAACAGCCCGTTATTAGGGTGTAGGTGAAAGTCAGATCGTTGAACGAGTGTCTTGAGAAGGAGAAAGGGGGAAGTCGCTTTCTTGCCCATGGGAGCTGGAGGAGCTGCGATATGAGACTGTAACTAAGCGGTTTGGAGACTGGAAGACAGTTGGTCAGAACAAATTCCCCTTGGCTAAAAGCCCAGACAAATTTGCTGCCTTAATCACGCACCCCCTACCCCTTCCCCCCGCTTTGTTTAAGGGACTCCGGATTCCAGAATCCGAGAATTTATTTTGCTTGAGGAATCGAAGATTCCCGGGCTTTGGAATCCGGAATACAGCTCAAGGAATCCGGAATACTACTGACGATTGGAATCTAGCCTGCGGATACAAGCGTTTCTCCTTACTCCTCCCCGCTAAGTACGTTTCGCGAAACATCCCTAGCGGCGAGGGGCAAGGGGAAACGGCTTTATTCGCAGGCTAATTGGAATCCGGATACCAAGTTTTATTGACATAGAATCCTGAATTCACAGCGTGGAATACAGAATCCAAGACTCTTTTGGATTCCGTTACATGTAGCGAAATAAAGCTCTAATTCCATTGTTCTTTTTGGCACGAAGTTCTATTGTTTCAGGGCTAGAGATCATTGATTATGTTTTTTTTTTATTGTCTTCTCCAATAATCCTTAACTGTTTGGTGAACTTCCAGGCTGTGCAGAGACGGGTCACTAACACACGGGACTGAGTGAAGTCTTGTCGCTGTATAAAGCGACAGACCGGAATTCCTGAGTGGCTTATAAGTTGGGATTTTTAAAGTAATACCACAAATATCGCCACCTATCACAAAAAGGAGCTACGTGACGATGCTTATGGTATAACTAAAACCCTAAAAACGCATTGGAATTTAAGAAAACCTTTAAATAATTGTTTTGCCTCCTTGAAATAACTCTTACTTCTACTCAACAATGATTGTACATGGCCAGGATAGAAAGGGATTGCAACTTGAATAAATTTGCTCCAACTTTCTTAAGTCAAACTCCTATGTTGTCAAAAAATGACCGACAATCGATTATGAATGTTTTGATTTCGTTTTGTCAGAGTCATTTAATATCTTTCTTTTACAGAGATCCAAGTACGAGAAAAAATGACTGAGATTATTTAGTTATAATGTCAGCTCAACTTTGACCAACAAATGTGGAACCCGCCATGACAAAGCCCCTTTAAAGTATGGAAAAGAACCTTGAACACCATGCATCGAGAGAAAGCTACAATCTTGGCTAATAATGTGCAAAAGCAACCCCTCCACACCCCATCCCCCGAAATCAAGAATGAAGCCGCAGGGAGGCCAAAACGCGCCATTTCAGTAGTAAATAAGCTAACAGCTCCGCGCGGGAGAAAGTCCTCGAATATGGTGTTGTTTTACTTGTACTTAAAATTGACATTTTAGGGGTGATCAGGTCAGATACTTTTGTGATACTTGTGCTGTATGAATAAATCATAATCAAACAAAAAAATATAATTTTAAAAAGGGACAAAAGTGGTCTTCTGGGCCCTCATCACAATTTAAAATGTTGTTTTTGGTAGCATCCTGACTTTTGGAATGTGAAATACCTGAGGCCCGCAGTGAGAAGAGTTGCGTCATATGGTGCAGCAGGTAATTGAATCCCTTGTCCTTCAGCGACTTATCACATGAGAAACCTTCATACATTGAACAAAAGGAGATATGTCTACCAGTTCATAAGGTGGTGTACCGGAGCTTGTCAGTTTGCTACTTGTTACAGTACCCCGGAAGAGTATCAAACATCCTAAAGGAGATACTTTGGTCTATTTGCCAAAACGTAAGTGGCAATATTAACATGAAGATTTCTGTTTTTAAGAGCAAATTGTAACTTGTTCTTTAAGCTATTAATATGACAAGACTTGTTCATTCAGTAAACACTTTACTGGGCTAACACGTGAATGTTAAAAGGCTGGCATAACTGCCAGTTGTAACCTGTCCATCCTACGACGAAGATTTTCAAATTTGTTGCACACCATCATAACTCACGGGGAGAGAATGTCCGCGCAATTGTAGGAACCTGAAGTGCTCAGATTATCCGATAAAACAAACTCTGTAGACAAGGTTTATTGGGTTTATTGTTCAAGTGTCGTCAAATTATAAGATATACAGCAATCTTTCAAAACAGAGGATCACGGATTCCTTTTAGGTGAGTTAAAATTTTATATCTTTGGACTATGAGCAATCTCTGTAGTTTGCTATTAACGTTCAAAAACGGACCTGCTAAGGCGAGGCTATGGGACAGCCGGTGTAGAAGAGGCAACCCAATCCCTCGTTATTATTCCTGTTATGCTGAAGACATGTGACTCGCTTTCTACTTAGTTCACTGCAGGAATGAGTGCATTTTTTATCATTTCCAAGACTTCAAAAACCTAACTGATTTCCAATAGCTTCTACAATCGAGCCGCATTCAAATTTACCCTTTTGAGACCGGAGGTTGGGGGCTTGTCAAGTCAAGAGATTTCTTACGTGAACATCAGTCGAGGTCAAAATATTCTTGCAATGTGAAAAAAAAAGACCTTTACAAAACAGATTAACGTTATATGTCTTTATGGTGTGGTGGTTCCGCTTTTTCGACCTGGTGGTTTTATTGAAACCTGGAGTCCTTTTGCATAAGTTTACATTTAGTGGGACTTTTTTGAAATCGGTCCTTGTATTTTGGAGAATTTTCTCGTGCTCTCCTCGTGTTTTCTTCACTTGTTAATTCGCCTTTTGCCGAGCTATCTCTGCAAAACTTATGCAACAAGTGGGGTGGGGGTTACAAGGGGGTCCAAACCTCCTACCTCCCATACATTGCATTCCCGACCGAACGCCCCTGTTTCTCTTGACTTCCTTCCTGATCTTCAGCCCCTTTGCGATTGCAAAATAGCAGGGGCCTTCCTTACCCTTCCCCCTATTCTACCACCTCCCACCCCACTGCCCCCCCCCCCCCCCCCCCAAAAAAAACAAACAAAGGTTTTCGCTTTCAAGCTTCTTTATGCAACCCAGCCCAGAACCGGAAGGATAGAAACGATTAAGTGCTTTAAGATGCTCTTCCCGTCCGATCATGTCAGATGTTCGCGTTTCGGCGTGGAGAGACTCTAAGACATCGAAAAAGAGGACATTTCCATTTATTGTTCGCAGAATGTTCTTGGCAATGGAAAATTGGTGCTTTACACGGGAAATTTCAAAGGTAGATTATCGTCTCTTTGAATCTCTTTGAGATAACGTGACTGCGATTTCGTGACGAAAGTAAGGTGTTGATTTATTTTTAATTTAGCTCAGCCACGTACATCACGAACAAAACTGGCAAATGACGGTGGCCTATAAAAGGTCATGTTGACTCGAAAACGACCGCCAAAAACAACTTTACTTAATTTCGGGTGGCATTTTTTAGATCTAGCCAAAAATTTCTTCATCCTTGGCCGGACCCTGAAGGATCTGCTTTAGTACGAGATGGTCTTTTGATGAGTTGCACAATTCTCTTTATCATGTACCTCACCAAGATAGTATTATTCTTAACTCCGCGGAGAATGCAAACTTGCCCCTGGCGAAGAGGTCACTTCCCACCACCCGTACCGGCCTTCGTCTAATTTTCAACGCAGTTCGCCGTCCTCGCGTAAATCTCTCCTTCCCTACCCCGTCTTTAATTTTTAAACCGTAAGCCGGCTTCAGCTTCTTACTTTGTTCTTCCCGATTTTTGAGACCGCCACCAGAAGACATGTTACAAGTAGCTTGAATTACCTATAACATATATATCAGAAATTTGATATTCAAGAGGTTTTGTGACGTTCCTCTTTATAAATCTAGAGAACGTTATCGAAATAAAGTGGCTTGAATTTCCAAGAATATAAAACCTCTTGTATATTTTATGAGATCGTATAAAAAACGTTCGCTCAAGCTACTTTTGTGTATCATTGCCACTTCCAGTTGCTTTATCCTTGGCATTGTACTACATACTTCCTAAGTACCTGGTGTCGCAAAGGCCATTTAGTTCACAATTATTCCTCAACTGTGGTTTTTGTCTCTTTTTAAAACGATGGGGCTTTCTTTTCCAAACAGTTCTTCGGGTAATTGGGCGTTTTATAAGGTAAACAACACTTTACTTTTAAACAAAATATCGATAGAAGTTTTGAATTGTCTCCAATTTGTAATTGGTGGAAGAGATTTTTAATGATGCCACCATATTCCACCTGCTAAAAATTATCGCTCCAAACAGGACATTTCTATCTTCCGCCACTTTCAGATTCAGCTCTGGCAACTGAAAGAAAAAACAACTTGTTG